TACCATACCTCAGTTTAAGCTAACTGGCCGGATAACTGATGCATTTTTCTGAGAAGATCATGACTATGACGACCTCATGAACACCTCCATCTTTGTTCCGCTTCTTGTCCCTCAGTGTGTGTTACATGAAGTCATCACTGAATGGAGACCTTCATATTTGACGGTCTGATTGTGCGCTTCCTCAGTAACGCAGAGCTGCTGCCTCATCATTCTGCCGGCGCACAAACACGTGTAAAGAGCACATTTTGCAGAAGCAATAACAACCTGGGATTATTCTTAGTTACACTTCGCCATTTTTATCCAGCATGGCGAAAAATAAGAGGAAAAGGAAACTGAAGGAACAGGACTTCCAAAAGGTGAAGCTGAAAGTCGGAAAGAAGTTACAACCTGCTCAGAATGCGACTGACACCTCGTTCAAATCGAGATCTGTTTTCATCCCAAACCAGCTTCAGAAACTCGACAGTGAACCAACAAATCAAAGAAATCAAACCCTGAAGGTAAGGCTTTCATACTGTTATGACTCTCTGTTAACTTTTATAAGTATCAGACGAAACCTTCGACAATTCAAGGAGTTAGAGGTGGGGTCGAGAAGAAAATTGTGCAGTCAGCGTTTCCTTTCAGTTGACTGTTCCACCCTTTAATTTCATTATGTTGTGTGTACAGCTTGCATCATGGCATTGGACATATAAATCTAGGAAAAATTGCTAGTGCTTTCTTTAGCACTTTGAGTTTATTTGACAGACTGAAAGTAAAGCCAACATGGCTTGAACATTGAAGTTGAACGTGCTATCCTTCTGTTCTGTGGGAGGACGGAAGAACTTTAATTGTCATGTGCAAAAAGTGAACACGCATCACACTTATCCCAGCCACTGAGCTACCAAAATTCTGACTGTGTGATTAAACAGCATAACCAATCTTGAACATTTAGTAATTAAAAGATAACAAGAAAAAAACTTTAAACTGAAGGAGGTAGAAACAACAAAAAGTTAACTGAGTTAAAAGCCATTTTAACCCATTGACTCTTGGAGCTTTTTGTCAAAAACGCATTTTTTGGTCATTTTGGAGGTTTTCAGGCTGGATATGGGCCAAATTAGCTCCAATCTACTCAAAAATCTACTCAAAAATCTACTCTTTTCCTTTTGCTGCATTGATTGATCTTCTTCTGGGCTTGCTTCCAGTTTAAAACATTCTGAGAAGGCATCATCGTGACAGGCAATTTTTGCCATGGAGTAGCCATGTGTAGTGGCAGGAAATTTTCCTCTGAGTTTTTGACTCAACTTTTTGAGCATTTTTGTGCATATCTCAGGCTCCATTGGGCCAATCACTCTGATCTGGATATCACTGGAAAGATCTTTTCCTCCTGCAGAAGTTGAGCATAGATGATGCCAATTTTGGTCAAAGGTGATGACGTCAGAAGTGGAAGAAAGGCCAAGGCTCGTCACGGTCGGTTACGGCCAGCACAGGAGTCAATGGGTTAAAAGAATCAATATTACTGCTTAGGTAAAAGCTTAGTGTTTTTGTTATTCTTATAGGATTTACTTGCCCAAGTGGGCCATTACAGTGTCACAATGAGAAAGGAAGCACTAGTTGGTCTTAAGGATCTGTTTCAGCTCCATGAGAATCTTCTGGAAGAAAATCTTGGAATTATAACCAAAAGAGTAGCCGAGAAAATGACAGACAGCGACCCATCAGTTCGGCAATCACTTCTTCTATTATTCTGTTTTATATTTCCATTGGTACCACAGGAAAGGATGGCCCCATTTTCTCCAATCGTCATGGCTCACTTAAGCTGTGCAATGACACACATTTATGATGACATTCAGCATGACTCGCTTGGTTTTCTAGAACTGTGTCTTCAATACTTCCCAACTTTAATGGTGACTAGTTCTTCACAGCTGATTCAAAACTTTGTTGGCATGATTTCATATCAGGGCACTTCAGGTACTAAGAAGTCAAAAGGATTAAAGCAAAAAGTAGGAAAAGGACTTTCTGTGAATCCAAAGGGAAAACTCTCTTCTTTAAGGTCACGTTTAAAAGTCCTACAGCAATTGTTAGCTTTTTTAAAAGCCTTGGAATCTTCTACAAATTCTTGCCAAGCAGAAAGCTCTTTTACATCAATGAACCATGTTGATGTATCAAGCAGCAAACCCATATTTCATTTTCAGAAGCATCTACCAACACAAATTCAGGTTTTGCAGCATTCTGTTGAAGAACCAATGTTACTACCCTTCACCTTTGACAACACCGTAACATTTGGTATGCAATCAGTTAACACAGGAAGTGAGTCCAATATTTTAACTGATGGCCAAAAAACGAAAGATTTCATGGAAACAATTGTGCCTTTACTGTTGGAATGCTGGGTTGAATGTAACCCTGCCCAAGTGACAACTGGTCTCCCAGACAGTGTGATGTCTCCTTCATCCATCAATGTCATGTTAGCTATAGCAGAAATTTTCAAAGTTATTTTCAAAGCAGCTGAAAGAAATCAAACAAAGCATTCCAACATCCTGGAGCAGACTAAAGTTGAAAACTTCCTGCCTGATATATACAGAGAACTTAATCATCACTTTATGAGCCACTTTCCATTCACAGCATGTCATACTCCATTGCTTAAGAAAGAGAAAAAGAAGTTTGGAAAATCATCTCAACAGGATGTGGGAGATAAAATCAGTTCTTCTGTGTTAACTCTAAACCTTGCAATCTGTGAAGTAATGCTACAGTTTGTAAGAAATGATGTTGCTTTAAAGAAGAAGTATCATTCTGCAGTTCAGAAACTTGAAGACTTTGTTATAGAATCACTGCTGTTGAAGGCAAAAGGAGGTGCTTGGGCTCAACAATTTCAGACAGAGCATGTGGAGAGTTTAATCAAGTTTGCTCATCAGATTCTTTGTGGAAAACAAGGTAATGTATTGCAAATTGTATGAGCATATGCGTGGTACCATGTTATCAAATCTGCATGTTCAAACCAATAAATACTGTATAATACGACATAGGTTCAGCTAAGAGTGATTTTGGGAAAATTATGAGTGAAAGAAAGGCCATGGCAGAATGCAGCACCTTTTCCCTTTAAATACTACCTTAAATTCTGAGGCTTATGGGAATAAAACATAAGAAATTAATTAGTTATCCCATAACCTCAATGTGATTTCTTTTGTTGTATTACCCGAAGCCTCAGAACCACATGCTTAAAAGTGTCTTTCATGTTTATATGTCTGTGTGAATTAAACATAAAAGAGTTCAATTATGGTAGATACCAGGGAAGTAAACTGATGAATACAGTATAATAAAATGTGCTTTTTAAAATCTAGTAGTATTTTTCTTTTTAATTTGTTTGAAGATTCTGATACAGCAAGACAACTGCTCAGTGCAACTTTCAACTTGTACCAGTCCAGCCACATCATGTGTGGGACAAAGAAGATGCTGATGGTGTTTTTTAGCAGCCTTGCATTTCCTGAGAACCCAGATGTGTCAAGGTGAATTTCTCCTTTTCAAGTTTAACATAATACTTACACCTTTAGGTCAATGCACTGCTCTTCCTACTTTCTAGAGTTTCTTGATCCCAATAGATTAAATGATCATTTTTATTCAACAATTTTTGATGTTTACAATAGACATGAAGAGGTACATGCAGTGGTTCAGAAATGGCTCCAAGGATTGCCAAGTGTGTTGCTGCTGTTGAAGGATGCCAGCCCAAGCATGACAGAACTTGTCCTTAGAGACATGAAAAAGGCAATGGTGCAATGTGTCCCACAACCAGATCACAACTTTTTGGCTCATCTGTCCTTGTTCTTTTGTGGGTTTTCTGATTTGTAGAAATCTGTGATACTTTGAGTATAAATTTATTTT